GCTAGAAAGCTGCAGTGTTGGCAACAAAACCGCAATGAAGCTTCGTTTTAAATGGACGATACCGTAACGTATTAATTACTCAGTCCCATACAGCTATAACCTAGCATGAGTGTATATTTCGCTTTGTCCGATTTTTGTTTTCAGTCCATCCACAAGAAGAGCACTGTTCTGTGGGGTCTAGCGTCGTGTGGTCCAGTAGAAGTTCGGCACAAGCATTAAAGTATTCTCGATAATCATTATACTAAGTACACCCCTATAATAGGGGGCACGCGGTAGCATAGTTGGTTGAAGCACTATGCTACAAGCCGGAAGGTTGCGGGTTCGAGTCCTGATGAGGTGGATTATTTTTCAATTTACCTAATCCTTCCAGCCGCATTATGGCCCTGGGGTCGACTCAGCCTCTAACATCTTCCTGGGGGGTAAAGGGCGACCTGAGCTAACAACCTTACCGCCATCTGTGAGCTGATTATCTGGACAAAATGTGGAAGCCTCGACGTCTCACAACCCTATGGGTCTCCACGGTCCGTTACAGGGATACCTTTTTTTCACTCCCACAAAACCTATAAATTGGCAATAATGAAAAAATGATTACACACAGAGTGCAGCCAGTATAGCTTAGTCGGTACAGAGACTTCTTCATACCCGGCCTCCTGTCCAATGGCTACCGGAGGCTCTAATAGCTCCGGGGGTAAAACGATTTGGGTGTGAAGTTGACCACTCACATCTATCTAGTGCAGAGAACAAGAGTGATGGAGGAATACCTCCTCTCCCGCACATGCCTTCATGGAATAGTGCTTAATTTTGTAACTACGTAAGTACATGGATAGCTATACACAAGCAGGTCTTTCATCAACATCGGTCTGATTGAATGTACTGATTCCTTTTCAGGGTCGATACATAAGCTAAGCAAGACGCAGGAGAATCCTCCGAAACGTCTGTGAACTCCTACCCGACTACGCGGAGCCACATCCTAGATGCCAGAACTATGAGGACCTCAAATCCAACATGCTCATGTACAGCCTGCAGTACAAACTGAACAGGAGGCTGGGCTGGGTCCACAGTTGCTGACCGGTGCCGAGAATCGAACTCAGATTAACCGGCTCTAGAGCCCGCAGCGTAGACATAAACCTGGCTAAGCTATCTCGGTCGAGGAGCGACGCTGGGCACTCACCCTCTTCTAGTGCCAATGTTAAGAATGCGTGGGACTAAACATCCATATCCAAACATGACTTCAAGACGTGGTGCTTAATTAAGTATAGAGGCAAATTTACCTCATTTTCAGCGGTACAAAAAACAATCAAACTCGGTAGCCTGTAGTCCGCAAACGAACTGTACCGACCGAGCGACCGCTGCTTGTCGGCAAAGTTAGAGCCAACTTTTGCGGATAGAGAGTGATTTTTCAGCGATACAAGCATATCAAAAATTAATTCACATATTAAAAAAGCATAATTTTGAGAGCCGACCACAGTGACCGTGCGTTCTGAGGCATCAAATGTCTTCGGTCTGTCGAACACTTGACTCATGGGTTCAAATCCCATTCGAGGCATGGATGTGTTTCCGCATTTCTTCTATGTTTGTGTTGTCCTGTGTATACAGCGGCCTTGCGACGGGCTGATCCCCCGTCGAAGGAGTCCTACCAACTGTCTGTTATAACCGCCCTAATGGCCCACAAGCCTAAATGGTATTTCATTAAGAGTTATTCTCAGTATTTTATAATAATTACGCAGAGTGTGACATAGACCATCTCTTGCACACACGAAGCGGCATATTTCCCAGATGGACCACACAAAGAACACCAGATGGCCTCCTGGTGATTTAGTTCAGCATTTCTTGGAATTTTTGGTTCCAGAGTCGCTCGGCGACTCACTTCGAAAATTTGACTCTTGACAGTTTCTGCTAGTCGTAAGTCACATGAAGGCGTGCCAGGAGGGGACGCTATGGCCAGTATACATCATTCCCTGTCAAAAGATACGTTAGCTTATTAAAGAAAAAAAAAATCGCCTGTAGAGTAAAGATGATTGGAGGTAGCGGATTCAGAGTCAACTCCCTTACTTCAAATCTGGCCAATCCTCAAAAGTTGAGGGTGTGACTTGGGAACTTCGCGGAAACTGGAGAGGCACACATCCCTTCAGAAAAGCACTCTTCAAATAGTCTTCAAACAGTCTTCAAACAGTCTTGGAGTAGTCTTAAATATGTCTTCAAAAAAGGTGGTGGTCCAGCTAGGAAGAAAAATTCAGACGCAAATCCAACATCACATGTATTTAAGAACAGTTGTAAGTGTTTGGTAGTTCACCTTGCAAAGAAGTGTCAGCACCTGGTGAATTGTTGTGTATGTGAAATAAAGAATAAAGTGTCCTCACATGCAAAGTGCAAGTGGTGTATCATTAGACGCTTCTGCCTCCCTGTCTGAGCGAGGCCCGTACAAAAGATCCTGAGACAGTCTCATCTCTATCTTCTGAGGTAAAGAAAATTCACCTGTGTTCCTTTGGCAAAGAAGCATCAGCAACAGCCGCTGCAGGTGGAAAGCAAGGTGAAGGATCAGGAAGGTAAAGGGGGACGACGATAAGAAGAAGTGGTGCCCAACGTGAAGGGCACTACAGAGAGGGCGATAACACTGTAAGACTGCATTGGGATTATATATTTTCCCTGTCTCACATCGCAATGCAATGATGAGACGAGGGACAGTTAAGCATCAATATTCTTAAGCATTTCAGCCCAGTATTCAGTAAAATTACCCGTGTTCACCATTGGCTATCTTCCTTACTTCAAAGCGATAATGCATAATTCCTACTACAACTAGCAGTAACTCTCTCTCTCTCTCTCTACAGCCCTTCGGACCTTCACCGTTTTTCAGTTTCTTAAGCCTGTACGCAATCGGTAGAACTCCTTGGACGAGGGATCAGCCAGTCGCAAGGCCAATATCTGAACACAGGACAGCACAAACACAGAATAAACGCAGACAAACATCCATGCCTTGAGTGGGATTCGAACCCACGATCCCAGCGTTCGAGCGAGAGAAGAGAGTTCATGCGTTAGACCGCGCGGCCACTGTGAACGCCATAATTCCTACTACAACTGACGTGAACTAATCTTCAGTAATTACAAGTTAACTAGATTACTCTGCTTCCAAGACGTTAGTGTAATAAGAATAAGGCATGCACAGTATCTGCGCGAGGTTTGAGTGGGGGACTGAAACTCCTATGTCATTACCTAAACCCATACACTGGTGCGGCAAAGAGAGAGGAAAAGAAAAAAGGGATGGGGGCGTGATTTACTCCATCTCGCCCGTAAATATTCCTGCCTGACATCGCCGGTGATTGTGTTTGCAGAGCCATGCACCCCGGGGAGGCAGCTCCTTCTGGCGGTAGTACACAGTGGCGGATATTTCCATCGCCGGTCACAGTAGCAGCGCGGTCTAAAGGTTCCCACACACGTACGAGTCTGGCTCGGCGAACTTGACTCGGGAGTCGGGCTCAGATTAATTTAATCACACACACACGCGCATGAGCTGACTCCCAACTTTGCGACCCACACACGGACGAGTTTGGCTCATTGGAACCCAAGCCGAGTCGGACTCGCGAGCCAGACTCGTACGTGTATGGGCTCCTTAAGGCATGAAGTGTCTTCGCTCGCTCGGGCGCTAGGATCGTGGGTTCCCACTCAGGACATGGACGTTTGATCTGTGTATGTGTTTATTCTGTGTGTGTTGTCCTGGGTTTAGGTAGAGGCCTTGCGACGGTTGATCACACGTCCAAGGAGTCCTACCGTCTGTGAAAAATGATTTCGGAATTTTATAAGAGGCCTGGGCCCTGAATGGCTGGAAGAGAATATATACCTCCACCGTAGCCCTACGAGTCGTAGAAGGCGATGAAGAGGAAACCCTGAGCCTGGGGTTATATTTGGGCCATCCGGTCACTGGGAACATTAACACAGAGACATAGCTCTCAGTTGGACGCAAGGCTGACGACCTTGCTCTGTAAACAAAATTACTGTTGCGAAATCCAAAGAAGTGAAAACCAGATGGTCTCATTCACAACGGAACTGACAAGTCTGGCAGAATCTTCTAAGGAAGGCTATGGCCCAAAGGGTTGTTTTGCCAATCATGATACATACACACATTTCACTTCTCCACAGCGTCCAGACCGGCTCTGGGGTCCACCCAACGTATCCAATGGGCACAGAGGCCTCCTGCCAGGGGGTAAAGCGGCCGGCATGTGAAGCTCACGGCTCACTTCCAAATAGTGTCGAAGTCAAGAATGATGCAGCTACACCTCCTCTTTCCTACGTATTTATGGCGTATTTATCTTTTACTTCAGAATTTCCTAACATTTTATGAAACCCGAAGTTTCATTACCATGTTCATTAGAGCCCGTCACTGCTCACTATCTTGAGCCAGATCAATCCAGTCCACAGCCTCCCGTCCAACAGGCAAGATTGTGGTTTTCTGTTATTTAACTTTACGACTTTAGACATGAGACGAGAAGGAAAGAGATTAGGAAGCGAGTTGTAGCAAGCATTCCCTGAATTTAATGCGCTTTCTAATTTCTTCATGAATGAAATTTTTATTTGTAAGTGCCGTTGCCAAACAATTTATTTTTTCCGCATGTTCAAACGATGTATTTACTATCCTTGCGTTGCTATTATGGTCTGCAGACTGGTAACGAGACATCTGAACATAAGTCTTTCTCGTAGGATTTGAGGTTCTCACACCGCTGGCTATGAAAATTTCTATCTTCTGGCATATAATACTGCAAAGTTCGTTGAAAATTAACCTATTTCTCGCTATTCTTGTCATCTGCTTTCACGTTGGTTTCTTACTTGGCTTATTCTTCAACCCTGAAGATGGAGGCTACATGCTTCTCCGAAACGTCGGTTTATTTTCAACGGACTACATGGCGTTATATCCCTGAAGACATCATTCCTCTTCATCTGCACCGACGGATATGTTACGGGCAAACGAACAAGGACTACATGTGTAACAACTGATGTCCTGTACTCACCTCTTTGCCACTACGATCCTTCCACCGAGCCCATATATTACTGCTGAAACTGGGGCGCCAGTACTCCAGCATGTAGAGTTCCGCGTACTCTTGCCCCAGCCCATTACCAAACCTTCCCTGGGTCTGGACGGCGACCACAACGTGCATCGTGTGGAGGTTAACTTCCAGGTATTCGAGTGCTTCTCGCGTCACCATGTGCTTCGGACACCATGCGCCTCCATTCTTGTCGTGACGCAACCTGCAACAAGTATAAGTAGCGTCATCTTCACGATACGAGGGAGAGTCACTAAACAGGTAACAAAATGGAAGTAAAACAGCTGTAATCGATGTAATACGTTTTCTACGTATATCACTAGGTAGCAGCACAATCCGCCTTCATGATGGTCTAGGTAGCAGACGCGAATGCGAGTGTTCACACGCTGGTTTCAGTAGTCAAAATGGTGATGGTGATTGAGAAGTTTATTACCGAAGAGCAGTATTCTGCTGTACGTCTCCTGTGGGCAAAAGGACTCAATGCAAAGGTTATTTATAAAGAATAGTTTCCTGTTTATGTTGGGAAGTGCTCGTCGCGTCCACCTTGGTGGAAAACGTTTCGATGATGACGAAGAATTTGAAACGCAGGTGCTATAAGTTGCTGGGACAACAGTCAAAAAACTTCTATGCTACGGGTTTCGACGCACTCATAAAGCGACAGGACAAGTGTATCAATGTTGGTGGAGGTTATGTGCAGGAATAATTTTTTTCAGGTTAGAATAACACATGTTTTACGTTTTATATCATTTTGTGACCTATTTACTGACTCTCCCTCGTACGTTTCCCAGGAAAGCTCGTTTCATTTCACACAAGCAAAAACGCAGAGAACAAGAAACTTCAATTTTATTAATATCTGTTTCTTACTGCTCATTTATCGACGCTGTTGGTAGCTGAGGTAGCGTCGGATGATAGGAAGATTGATTGGAAATGAATGTAGCAAGAAGTGGTCGTGGCTTTATTGACACTACTATCCCAGTCCCTGGAGGGACTGAGCTAAAATATTAAAATCCTTAGGCTAAACAAACTGTGTCTCAGATACCATTTGAAGGAACACTTCATAAATATGTCATGAGCGTTACATAGAGCAACCGCGCCATAGTTCAAGCGGTTAGTCACTGGCTTCCCACTGCGGCGGCCCGGGTTCGATCCCGGGTCTGCTCAAGTGGGATTTGTGGTGGACAAAGTGGCGCTGGGGCGGGTTTTCTCCGAGTACTTCGGTTTCTCCTGCCAATATTCATTCCACCAATTGTTCCACAATCACCTTCACCTATCATCTCGGGCTGGTACAATAGGCCTGATGTGGCCGCAGTACAAGGGACTTAGTCCCACTCCACTAGCAATATAAAAAATACATAGAACAACAGAGGATTTTCAAAAGGCTCCCATGAAAGGTGTTAAAATTCGCATCAATCTAAAATCTGTAACCTAAAGAAATGTTAAAAAGCTGCTCTTTCGACCGCGTCCATCAGTGTCTCGGGAGGTTGGATTAATATTCATTAAGTAGGTTCTTCTTGGGAAATGGTAATTTTCTCATTTCATCACGTGCGTTTTAATATCTGCAGCAGCGAATGAGTTGACGTGACGGTAAGGATTTAGACTGATGTTCAGGAGCTGCTCGGTTCGAATCTCGGGGCGGACACCGGTTATTCTGACGTGTTTCTTGGTGCTCCCCAACCTCTCCACACATATTCCTGGTTCGTGCCTCGATCAGGCCATGACCAATCCTTCCAGATCCCTGCCATCCACCCATTCGATGTCGCATAGTCTAGCTATTGGAAACATCACTATTTAACTAATTCCATGGAGCCGAGTCCTTCTTGAGAAGCCAGCAGTTGCTCAGCCACCCAAGATGTCTCCAGTACTTTATGGAAGCTGAAGTTCATTGCCGTCCTACAACAAACCGCTAGTGGTCTCTATCCTGAGCCAGAAAAATATAGTTTTTACCCATTATTATTTCTCTAAGATCCGTTTTAATATTATCCTCTCATTTACGTCTAGGACTTCACATTGGTCTCATTTCTTCAAGTTTTGCTATTAAAATCCTGTATGCAATCCTTTCTCTCTCATGTATGCTAAATGCCCTGTCCATCCCGCCCTTTTTGAATAGCATAACCCACAAAAGTTACCTCCCGCGGTCTATGACTGAAACGTCAAGCAAGATCTCAGACCGAAGAATCACAGAGACAAACACTGGATGACACAGGACAGATAACCTTTGAGGTGTGAACTTATGTGGAAAAACACTGACGAACCTCAGACATGTATTCTAACCGCAATGCTGGTAGAATGGAGACACCTTTTTCGCCGTCTCGAAAGAATTTTATAAGATAAATATGCAGTAAATTGGGGGAATCTGTGAGACAACATCAACCTGTTGACAACCGCCACCCTTACGCCTACTTCAAAGGATCTGCACATAATTAATTAGCTTGACAGAGACAGAGGAAGAATTGTTGACTGAAAGCAAAAGAAGGCGGAAGAAGTGGGAACAACTAGATGTTAAGTAGCGAGAGGAACTGTCCCTTCGCATTTGCATACACGGAGCAGTGCCTCCTCCCATGCATTAATTTCTAACCTTTCGTGCATCTTGTTAAAGAAAAGTCTCTTCGCCGTTCATTAGCATTCAATACCGCATCTTCTGTGCGCTATTTCATCGATTCAACGACATCGGAGGCTGAACAACAAAAAGCCGGAGAATCTCCTGGTTCTTAGCGCCCTCGTTGGAAGAGAGTTCATAAAGAGTTCTACCTTCAGGGATATAACACCATGTAGTCCGCTGAAAGTCCGCCGACGTTTCAGAGAAATACATCGTCTCCATCTTCAGGGTCGAAGAGCAAGCCGAGCAAGAAATCGGTGTGAAAGCAGGTAGCAAACAGACCAATTAAGCACCACTCAATTAAGACATATGACGGAGTGGAGGTATGGTTCCACTATTCTTAATCTTCGTATTGTATGGAGATGGGTGATTAGCCTCACGCCCTGGTTTCTTTACCTCAGGAAAAGAGCCCAAGGTGCCCATTTTGCACTGTCAGCAATTAAGGGAAGAACATAAATTCAGGATTTTTAAGTGAAGAAAAATACATAATGTCGAGCATTAGAATTTATATTCCACGCCGAATATAGTTAGAATGATCAAGTCACAGCGTATGAGACGGTAGGCCACGTAGAATGCAAGCAGTAAAGAGAAATCCATATAGATTTTCGGTGAGAAAAGCTGAGGGGAAAATCCCACTTGGATGATGCAAATAAAAATATTAGGATGAACCTCAGAAAAATATGACAGAACGTTGTGGAATGGATACATCTGGCTCAGGATAGAGATGTTGCGAATAAGATGATGAACCTTCGGGTTCCATGAAGTGCTGTGAACTTACTGACTACCTGTGCAACTGTTAGCTTCTCGAGAAGGACTCGGTTCTATGGAATTACTTAAATATAGTTCTCTCTTTCGGGACAGTGTGTTCGTGTTCCCCAGTTGCTTCGAAGCGCGTGTACATTTTCATAATTCTCGCTGTATCCAAGAAGTCGGTTTTGATTCTAACGTGAGGCAAAGATAACCGAAACCGCCAGCAAATTGGACATTTCTGTCAATGCTATAAATACATTAAATAGCCGGAGAGCAGCAAACCAAAATAAAGGCAGGTGTGTGAGGGGAACTGTCCGTATGCACCAGCCCAATAGCGCTGTGTTTTACTTCCGTATCGACCGTTAACTACCGCGGCCGCATGAGGTTCCAGTCTTCGTCCCTGGGCGCACATGAAGCGCAGTGCCACGGCGATCACAAGATCTAATTTGTCATGTATGAACGCGGTTCATTTTCTGCCACAGCACCAACACAACTCCATAGAAAACCAGTGTAGACTGTCCTTAATTTCGTGAAAGAATGCGGAATGGAAAATTGCATGCATTTACCTGTTTCGTGATGGTGCCCTGCTTGGCTTATTTTTCGACCCCGAAAATAGAGGAAATATGTTCCTCCGAAACGTCGGCTAACTTTCAAATCACTCGAGTTCTACCGAATGCCCATCATACGACATGTTTCCCGAAACGTCGGTTTGCTTTCAACGGACTACACGGCCTTATATCCCAGAAGAGAGGATTCTTCATAACCACCACTGTGAGAGCCTCAGATCCTACACAGCACTATATCCCAGAAGACATAACTCCCCATAACCACCGGTGTGAGAACCTCAGATCCTACACAGCACTATATCCCAGAAGACATAACTCTCCATAACCACCGGTGTCAGAACCTTAGATCCTACATAGCGCTATATCCCAGAAGACAGAACTCCTCATAACCACTGCTGTGAGAACCTCAGATCCTATACAGGGCCATATCCCAGAAGATAGAGCTCTTCATAACCACCGGTGTGAGAACCTCAGATCCTACACAGCGCTATATCCCAAAAGACAGAACTCTTCATAACCACCGCTGTGAGAACCTCAGATCCTACACGGCGCTATATCCCAGAAGACAGAACTCTTCATAACCACAGCTGTGAGAACTTCAGATCCTATACGGCGCTATACCCCCAGAAGACAGAACTCTTCATAACCACCGCTGTGAGAACCTCAGATCCTACACGGCGCTATATCCCAGAAGACAGAACTCATCATAACCACCGATGTGAGAACCTCATATCCTACAGTGTTTCTTATGTGGAGGTTACTAATCGACCCTGAAGATGGAGGCGACATGTTCTTCCTCAAGGTAAGCTGATTTTCAACTAATTACATGGCGCTATATCTCAGAATGCCGGTCACGGTAGCCGAGCGGTCTAAGGCATGCACTGTCTTCGCTCGCTCGGAAGCCGGGATCGTGGGTTCGAATCCCACTCAGGGCATGGATGTTTGTGTGCGTTTTTGTGTGTTTGTCTACAGGTAGAGGCCTTGCGACGAGCTGATCACTTGCCCAAGGAGTCCTAATTATTTGTAAGATCGAGAAAAACCGAAGTGAACGGAGTTCATGGAGGTAGGCCTAGGCCCACAGGGGATGTAGTGCCAAGGGGAAATATCTCAGAATAAAAGAACTATCCACGCAAAATATCTGTAATATATCGCAAGATGTGTCCCAAAATACTTACTAGTATCACATGGCTGCGCCATAGCTAAAGCTGTTAGTCGCTGGCTTCCCACGGCGGCGGCCTGGGTTCGATAACTGGTCTGGTCACGTGGGATTTGTGGTGGACAAAGTGGCGCTGA